ATCAGGTCTTTTGTAGCATCAGCTGCTGCCATGAACTCTGCCTCTGTCGTCGAATTGGATATGGCCTCCTGTAGCTTGCTTCGCCACGTAATTGCACCTCCACCATAGAAAGAAATAACACCTGTTCGAGACCTGCGTGTTTCTGCACAGCTGTTGTTATCTGCATCACTAAACAACATCAAACTTCTATCATCTTCATTATTGTACACAATGCCGTGTCCTATGGTATTGCGAAGGTACCTTAATGTTGTCTGTACGATTTCCCAATCAATCTCTGTAGGATTGTTCAGCTTTCGAGACATCAAACTCACTGCGTAAGCAATATCCGGTCGGGTCCCCATCGCCAAGTACAGCAAACTGCCAACTACTGATCGGTATGGAATTTCACTGCTGAGAGGCTTCGCCTCCTTGATCTTGATCATGCCGTCGTCATTCGGTTGACCATAGTCGACCTTGAGACTCGACTTCTTTACTGGGATGTGTGATGTCTTAGCATCTCCATATCGCTCTAATATCTTTCTTGTAAATGCTTCTTGGTGCAGGAAGAGTGAGCCGTCTTTCAAACGTTCAACTTGTAGACCAAGGAAACAATTTAACGTCGTTACTCGAATGTTAAAATGTTGCTTGAGCTCGTCATAAATGTGAAGAATGCTGCTTTGTCCTGAACCGCAACATGCCATCATCAACATAAATCGCCATCAGCATCTTATGTCCATAATCATTTCGTATGAACAGGCAGTTGTCGGATTTACTTTGTATCATGCCATGTTTCTTCAGTCGTCAGTAAACTTGGCATTCCAACATCGTCCAGCTTGTTTTCAAGCCGTATAAAGGTCGAAGCATCTTGCATACACGCTTACTTCCGTGGTTATAGCCTTCGAGTTGATACATGTAAATCTCCTCAGTTAGGTAACCGTAAAGGAATGCCGTCTTCACGTCAATTTGATATAAGTTGAGATTCTCCTTGGCTTCCGTTGCAATTAGAGCTCGAATAGCGTCATAGCAACACACCGGGCTAAATGTGTCTTCGTAGTCGATATTCACCGTCTGGGATGTACCCTTTTGCTACTAAACGGGCCTTGAATCTCTCGATTGAGCCATCGGGATTTGTCTTCACTCTGTAAACCCAGCGATTGTCGAGGATTTTACGTCCGTTAGGTGGCTCAACAAGTTGCCATGTTCCATGTTTGGCATGCGAAGCCATTTCTTCGTCCATGGCTCGTTTCCAGTCGGCGTATTCAGGAGACTTCGTTGCTTCGTCATATGTTTTAGGCTCTTCCAACTTCAGAATGCTGTTATACACGTCGTAGTCATTAAATCTGACAGGCCGTTGGATAGCTGAACGGTCTCACAATGTACGCGCAGTCACCTGTGTTGGGTTCTTCTTCATCAGTGCACAGATCACCAGTCCCCTGTGTGTCTGCATCATCGTGTGCATCTTCCAAAATAAACTTCATACCGCTTGATAGACCGGTGTTAGATGCTAATCTTCCAAAATAAACTTCGTACTGTTTGATTGACCGGTGTTAGATGCTAATTTTGAAGGTTGAGAAGTAGGGCCCGATTTGCTGTTCATTGAACACTACATTGTTCAACTTTGAACAGCAAATATATCATTTTTTGATGGTATGAAAATGCGATACCTGTAGTCATCACAATAACCAACTAAATAGCACTTTATAGCCTTGTCATCTAATTTACCTCTGTTGACATTTGGTACATGTACAAATGCAGCTGATCCAAAAACTCGAATTCTGTTGATTGCCGGCTTGCGTCCAAACCATTCCTCAAACGGAGATTTTCCCGTAGTCTTACTTGGTCCGGTTCGATTGAGAACGTAGACAGCTGTAGATACTGCTTAGGAACTGTGGTAGTTCTGAATCCTTGATCATAGTGCGAACTGCATTCATTATTGTACGATTCTCTCTTTCAACCAATCTGTTTTGTTCTGGTGTATATGGCATAGTGATTCGCAGTTTAATGTCACCATCATCAGTCAGTTTCACCAATTTTTCATTGTCAAAATCACGACCACCATCTGTGACCAGTTCTTTTACATTTATATTATCTTTGTTGGTCCGAACAAGAAACCGCTTGGTTATATCCACAGGCTTGTCTGTATGTCTCAGAAATTCTACATGTCGAAACTTTAAGTATTTATCCGTAATCACTAACATGTACTTCTTTCCACTTCTTATAAGATTGGCGATTCGAGTAAGTCTCGATGTATTATCTTACCAGACTTTTGTGTTTTGAATCGTTTTGGTATAAATGTTTGTCGAATTTGTTTACCATACGCTATGGCTCACAAAATAGTCTTATCGTCGATAAAATCTATACCATTTTGGCGCAAGTACTGTTTCACGTACTGTATTCCTTGGTGCCCAAGTCGTCGATGCCAAAGTGATAATGACAATTTTGTCGTCGTCTTCATTGACGTCTCAGGAAAAGGAGTCGTCATTTCGTTGTCAACCAAGTAGGCTGCAGCAGAAGAACCTCTTTGTGGCTTGACTGTTTTTGCACGTAGTTCAAACAGTCCATTTGACGAGCATGGGGCTTCTAAAAGTATATTATCTGGGGTCTCCTTGCGAAAGAAACGACAAATCATATCGTCTGAATCACAAAAGTTCGAGATTCCTCGCTTCATTGCCTTTGAGGCTGATAACAAATTTTTGCCAATTTCTGGTGCGTACAGTACATCAGTCAGCTCAATAGATTTTTGTACGTTTCCAACCATCGCGCACATGTCAATGTCCCCACAGCCATATGCTGTGTCTGTTTGTTACCGACTGTGATTTCTGCTTGTTTGTTAAAGTGACGGTACGTCTTGAAATACTCGGCTGAATTTGTAATGTGTGCTGTAGCTCCATTGTCTTTAAGCCACACATTTCGGCCACAATCATCTTCTTGACAAGCAAACGCACTGCACTGAGTATTTGCAAAGAAGGTCTGTTTTGCCATTCGTCGTGGTTGGCATGTCAGCGAAAACTGGGCAAAAGTTACCAATGTGCCCGGCTTTATTACAACGAAAACAGATGCCATTGAAACCTTTCACACCAGCACTGGTCTTACTAAGTGTGTTCATCGTTTTGGCATTACTTGTTGTCAAGGGTTGGGATTGGCTGACCATCTGAGGTTTCTTACCACCCTTCTTCCATTTCTTTCCACTATGTTTTGCGCTGTAATTAGCATTTGCCGCAAATGTTATCGTACTTTTGTTTCTAAGCTCTTGATTTCTTCTTTGCAGCCGCATGTTGATCTGTTCGATCAATTTTCCAGGTGAATTTTCCGTTCTTTGGCATGAGTCCCACTGTGATTTGAACTCGATATATTCGTCATCAGGAAGAATAGATAAGATTCGCGGTGTTAGCAAATTCTGCGGCAACTTTCCTTCACCGCTCAACTCTTGCTCACGTTGAAGATCCACCCACAGTGTACATAAGCGTGCCGAGCGATTGCATTAGACTTTCGTCTTTCTCGATCCAAAAAGTGAAAAACTGTTGCAGAAGAGTGTCCAACTTCACACTTGACATCTTCTCAAAATTACTGATAAATAATTCTATATCGCTAGTGCAGAATTACCATGCATACAGTATGAAATTTAACACATTCAGTGATACATTTGTGCGAATGATCACAGCAGTTTTCGCATTCACCTTTTGCATACGCTTTTGCGGCTTCGTTGTACTTGCATATCATTTTTTCATTCGCGCTTTCTGCCGGAGCTTTTGGCTCGATAAGGGAATTATCGAAGATGCCCGCACAATCGTTGAGCACAAATAAAGAGTTTATTTCAAATTTCCAATCAGTCCAGTTGGATAATGACAATTTTTGTATAGAGAAGGAGAATTCTGATGCTCCGATCTATTGGCTTGGTACCCTCAGTATGGACGTCAGTATATTTTATCATAAATCAAATCATATAAATAATCTATTAATTACGAGTTCCGACAGAAATTCAGTAAATATATATGGTTCAGCATGTGTGCATTATATATTTGCAGAGTTTGTATTTTTTCTTCCCTTCAAATAGAATTTATGAATCTTCAAACATGATACCTTGGAACCAGGTATATTAATTTATATTCCAATTTGGTACACTGAACAAAATTTTTAGCTTCCATATTACGTCATTAACCAGGAAATATGCAACAAAAATAAAAGGCTATCGGTACACTGTAACGTCTACCTACAAAAAAGTAAAGAGAACTTACGTACGTCTTATTGTTTACATGACAACTTTTAGAATGACGAAAATAATAGTGATGTCAGATGCATAAAACATATTAAAACAATGATGCCAATGAAACTGCTCATAATATTAATTAATGCTCGATTCTCAACAGTTTCATTAGAAATGTTCCTACTTTCATTGTCCGAATTTTCGAGCTTATTCAGTTCCTTCAATCCCCCCTCCCTAAATTGCTACAGTTGAATTTTCTCTTCGTATTTCAGAGCGGATGTGACTACATGTTCAAATTCATCTGCTTCGACTTTCAAATCTTATTCTATTTGAATCACAAAGTTTTTGATTTTTCGTTTAACTGGACTAAAATTTCCCTTAATACATTTACACTAATATCATCTTTACTTAATTCAGTCTCGACTTCTTTTATATCTTGGACACTGCAGTCCTCAATACCTTTCATTTCTATTTCAGTATAGCAATAAAATCTTCCCTTATACAAAAAATAGAAAATACAGTTTTACCTTGGCAGTCTTTACACAATTCTCATGTGCTAATCCAAAATTTAAAAAAAAAAAAAAAAAAAAAAAAAACAAGTTTTCAGAATACCCAAATCTTGGCGGTCAGAATGCACCATGACGCGAAAGGCTATTTCTAAGTATTTTCGAATTTTTTATGGTATCTGAAATTTATCTTTATATGAAGAGCATTATATCTATATCTATGATTGATCTATAATTGACAAGGTTAAGTTAAATATTTATTTGTACACTATATACAGTTAATAAATCTGCATATGAAAAATTCTACAAATCAAAGGATATAGTTTAATACTCCATTCCCGTCTAGCATCTAACATCTAATTAACTTAAGGTGGGGGCGCTTCATATGACATCATATTTTTCTACACTCCCATGAACATAATATTTAATCCTGAACAACTTGTAAATGAATCATAAACAACTAATTATTACATCATAAACAATTAAAAAGAAATTTTGTCATTCCACAGTATAGTGAAGGAGAATTCTGGTGCTCCGATCTATTGGCTCCGATCTATACTGAGGGTACTCAGTATGGACGTCAGTATATTTTATCATAAATCAAATCATATAAATAATCTATTAATTACGAGTTCCGACAGAAATTCAGTAAATATATATGGTTCAGCATGTGTGCATTATATATTTGCAGAGTTTGAATTTTTTCTTCCCTTCAAAATAGAATTTATGAATCTTCAAACATGATACCTTGGAACCAGGTATATTAATTTCATAACTGCAATTCATAGGGTAGTGCTGTCATTTAGAATCAAAAGGAAATATTAGAAACTTACAGCTTTTAGTGTACAAAAATTATCATTTTTAGGAGGTTAAAAAATTAACAAACATTCATTACATTCCTTTAAAGGGGTAACTATGCTACTGAAAGCAGACTTAAAAAGACTAATGGGTTGGATCATACTAATTCAGAAGTCAAACAACACGGTTTACCATAAACCTACATCAGTTTGCCTTCCACCACGCTTTAAATCATGTCATCCGACTAAACAAAAGTTAACTTCATTTTATTCCTATGTTTTCCGTGCTCTTCAAGTTTGCTCCTCCAAACTAGCCCTTGAGGAAGAACTAAATTATTTAAAAGCAATAGCTATTGACAGGGGCTTTTCACCCAACATCATTAATCAAGCAGTTAAAAAATTCTCATCTCAACACACTAAAAGGCACACTCTTGTTTATAAAAATTCTGTTGTCATTCCCTTCTTTCCATCAATTAGCTATAAAGTTGCACATATTTTGGAGAAATTTAACTTTCGGGTTGTTTATTCTCCCATCAATAAAATTCCGAGTTCCATACTCAAGGACCCCATTCCGGATATGAATTCCTCAGGTATTTATGGGATTCCTTGCCAGAGTGGTTTAATTTACATTGGCCAAACTAAGAGAGCCTTAAAATTTCACGTCAAGGAACATGAGGCATATGTTAGAAAAAAGGAAACACAGAAGTCTTCAGTTGCTCAACATTGTTGGTCCGAAAATCTCAATTTCAATTTTTCTGTTGCCAAAATTATTCAAAAAACATCTTCCATTGGAGAACTGGATTTTCTAGAGGCATTTCACATTCATAAAAATCTTTCTTTTCTAGTTAACGATCCTAATTCCAATCCAAATTTGCCTTCGGCCTTTAAAGAAATTATGTTTTAGTTCTGGTTTCGCCAACAGATGGCGCCACTTGCTTATTCTTGTCCAGGCTTTCTTATCTTATCTAATCATTATTTCGTATCTTGTTCACTTGCGGTTTTCATCTGAGGATGGTGGTTCGGTAAAACCATCGAAACTAGTCCTGTGAAAATTTTGTAAATATAAAGCTGATTTTTGTTGTTTGACTTCTGAATTAGTATTTATTAAAAAAAATTTTAAAAAAGGATTGGATCATATTTAAATGAATTACTAAACCATTCAAATATTTTTTATAAATATTTCTTTGGTGGTAACCAGTAAATACATGTTTAGAAGTCCAAAAAGTTAAATTTATAAAATAAATTAATGAAAAATATCTGATTACCTAGTTTGAAGCAGTATTATAAAATAACATGCAAGTGCTAATTAAAATGAAACAGTTTTATTGAGAATCAAAAATATCTACGTCTAAAGGTACATAAGATGCATATGTCAAATATCCAGTGTGCCCAGGTGTTTGAAGAGGTGGCATTGCTGCCCAGTGGCTTACAGTCTCATTCTCTTTTGAAGTATTTTTATTCCAAGGTCTAGTCTTTGGCAAAGAAGGGCTTTCTGCTTCGATGTTTTCTGAAGTTCCATCGACTAATAAATCTACCTGCGAGTCATCAGATTTAGAGCTCTGAAATGAAATAATCAATGACAGTGATTACTCTCTGGGTGTTATTTTATATTACAATTTTGTTTCGATTTCTTCTCTCCCCCTTTTTATGTATTTTTAATAGACTAAAGTCTTTGAAAACTTGTCCTAGGTGAAAAAATAAAGCAAAATACAGATAAAATATAGAAGTAGAAACTGAACTTGGACAAATGTTAAAATTGAGAACAAAATGTTAAAATAGTACAAAGAGAATCTTATGTTTTCTGGAGTCTCCCAATAACTCTGAACAGGATACTGTACTTTTTGCTACAGCAGGGCAAAAGAGGTGATCACCAATTATATACCTGGAATTGCACAGAGGACATTTTGGAATTTTGAAAATTCTAATCTTGTCCAAGCAATCATGTCTGACCACCAGATGGAACTAAGCTACTGCCAGGACTTAGAAGAGAAGGGCTAGTTCTTACAGCTTTCTACCCTGAAACAGTAAGTGAGGAGCGATGACGTACTCATGTTGACATTGACTGCAAAGATGCAATTCGCAGCAAAGAAATAAGCGTTTTAAGTTTGAAAAATCAGCCTTAAAAAACTGCGTGAAAAATTAGCTTTAATTTAGAAGAGATGTCATTACTGTAAGCATTTATAAGGTTTAAAAAGTTAATAATACTTATTTATTAATTAAAAAATAATAGATAAAATATGCTACATTTTCTTAAAAGTTGTAGGCTCCCCCCCCCCCGTGCACTTATTATTAAATCACAAAGAAAAAAACTACAAAATTCATTATCTTTTCTTAATCTGCGTACTAAGTGGAAGAATTCTATTATTCTTTTTAAGATAACTATAATAACAGCTTTTTAAATTCAGGCAAAAATTTTTTTTAAAAAAAATGTGGTCTTGTAAATGGTAAAAATTTAGTCTTGAACATACATGCCATCTTTTTTCCTGTACCTAAAGAAGAGGAACTTATGTTTGACTGCCCTTGAAATCAATAGGTTTATTCAAAATTTAATCTAATACAAGATTGCTTTTTTGATCTAATTATAAATTTTGCATTGGCGTGTTTCTCTTTTGATTTGATATAATAACATATTGTAAAAAAAGTTGTCTAACTGACATCTGCGCACATACATAACATTACATTTAAATAAATACGTTATCTTAAGATCATAATACGTTGTCTTCAGTTTGAGAAGACAACTTTGCTCACAGTATCTAAAGGGAATTATATAATCTTTCAAAAGAGGGTCAAAGGAGGAAGATCTTTTTTATGTGAAACTACTTTTGATGTTTTATACATTTATAAATTATCTAAACTGCTGAGGTAGCTTTGTTTTTTTTTTACAAATTATCAATGCATTCTTGTTTATTTTTACAATTAGGGCATTCAATATTTACATAGTCATTTGTGAGTATTATTTTAAAATATTTCGTATTTAATTTATTATTCCTAGTATCATTTTCTTAATCAGCCTGAAAATGAATTTTCTTCGAATTAATTTCCCATAGTCTTTCAAAAGCACTCTGCATTATTTTTCATTTCTTGACACAGTATTAGATTTTAACAGTTTCTTTCATTTGCAGTAATCCAAACAAGTAATTTTTCAAGTCATCTTCATAATTACTACATAGAAATTATCTGCTGCAAATTCTTGCGTTCTTCACATTAATAGAATGCTGTCTTCGGCACATGTATTCATGTTTTCCGCCAAAAGCAAATTGTTCTTTGGAAAAATATGAAATACAATATCACTCTTTCTCTCATTTCCATGAATTTTATGGCACTTTGCCACACCACAAGAACACATATTACATAAACAATACTTTAAAACAGTGATATCAGACTTACACTGCACATCAGCCAATGCACAATATGAAAGTAACTGGCGTGCAGCCATTACAAACAAAAAAAAAAAAAAAAAAAGTAGACTTTTTTTAAACAACAAATTTGTTAATTAAAAACATTTTACTTGATATTCCTAAAAAGCATACAAATAAAAATAATACAAAAAAAAAAAAAAAAAAAATATCAAATTTATACCGTACTGGTTCGTTACGAAATGAACACACAAGTCCGATGAAAAATGAACAAAAAATTTATTATTATCACAAAATGCTTAAATTCCCTCAGATATTCTTTTAGTTTTACAATATCTCACAGCAGTTATCTTCTAACTACTCAAACGTTCAAAAGAACTTAATTCAAAACAGCTAGAGAAAGCTAATCCGTGAACTCGCTACAGTCAACAAGAGCAGTTTTCTAAACAACAACAAACTAAGTAACTAACTACAAACTGAGAGGTTTTCCTCCTTTTATCAGATTTTAAAATCGCGCGCGAGAATTTTCTAGTACTTTTTCAAAATCAAAAAGAGATATTTATTAAATGTTTAATGCACGCGCTCTTGTATTGTCAATTTTCCGTCTTAGCTTTCTTTTAATATTCGTCACGCGCTGCACTGCGCGGGAAATAAAACCTTTTAATTTATAATTGAACTAACATTAGCTTTTAAATACCAAATTCGTAACACTGGCCCTTCCCAAGGACTGCACGTCCCGGGCAGTACAATCCCGGGACAGGAAGCCAAACTTACAACTAAGGCATAAGTGCTATATTAAGCATTACGTTACCATAACAAATAACATGAACAATAAATGCAATAAATAAAACAAATCAAATGCTATCAAATACAAATCAAATACTAAATACAAATCAAATGAAATACCAAATACACATCAAAAACACATTTAGAAACAAAAAGGATTATGGTCTTACACTATTTACAATTATTTACACTAACTCCTATGGCCATTGTAATAAGCTAACCTGTCGTAACGAACGCCTTTAGGTTTAGAGTTCGAAGACTTACAGATCATGACGTCATTCAGTCTCTTCAGGACTGTATATGGACCATCCGAAGGTGGCTGTAATTTATAACTGAGTTCTTTTCGTTGAATTGGGTTCCACAACCACACCTTGTCTCCTTCTTTGAATCTATGTCCAGTAGCTCTCATGTTGTATATGATCTTCACCTTCTCCGCCGCCAAGTTGACTCGCTTTTGTGCAGAACGATGCATCACCACAAACCGGGCCTGGACATCTTGGATGTATTCCTCAGGTGATGAAGGCGCATCCATACGGCGAACAAACAGGCAGTCACAAGGCTGCTGACGATGGTCTCGACCGAAGAGCATCTGGGATGAAGACTAACCAGTAGTCTGATGTTTCTCTCCAACCCAGTATGATTTCGGCAGCTTTCTCAGCTGGGTCTTTCAGACAAGGCGTCGGCATTTCCTGGTGAGGATCCCTTTCGACGAGGGATCGTCAGGTCCTCAGATGTAGAAAGCAGTTTGCTGTTTTTGAAGTCTAAGAAAAAATTGTATTTCCTCAAAAAGTTCAATCTGAGTAAGCATGGATCTGTAATATCTGCCACATAAGCCGTATAATGGTAAGCAGCACTTCCAAACGTGATGTTCAAGTTTAACTTCCCAGCTATGTCGATCTTATCACCAGACACAGTCTGATGAGTAACACAGGATGGTGTCCAAATAAGTTTATCTTTAAACTGTTCAGCTAAATCTTTCCTAATGATGGTAACATTAGCTCCTGTGTCAATGATCATATTCCAGGGAATTCCATCGATATGCCCATTGATGGACAGTCTGTTACTGTTGCTACTCCCTGTAGAAATCTTGAGTGCTTTAAAACAAAGTTTTTCATTATCTGGCAACCTCCATTCCTTGATATGGTCATTAATTTGTTTCCTGCGTCGTTCCTGAGAAATGGTCTCGATTTTCGTACCCTGGGGTGTTCTGCAATTCTTTCGTTACGTGGCCTTCAGCTCCACAGTTCCAGCACTTTGGTTTCTTGTCAATCCTTTTCCTTCCCATGGCATTTAATTGTCTGTTTAAATCGTATGCCTTATTTTCCGTGTTCTGGGGTGTTCTGCAGTTCCTTTGTAGGTGGCCTTTAACACCGCAGTTCCAGCACTTTAGGGTCGGTTTCTTTTCCCCACTATTCCGGCTCAAGGAATTCACTGGTCTTAAACTGTTTCATTATCCGTGCCCTGGGGTGTTCTGCAATGCCGTCGTATGTGCCCTTCAGTACCACATTTCACACATCTTAAGGTCAATTTCTTGTCGCTGATATTTTGTCTCAAAGCATTCAGTTGTCTGGTTATATCATCTAGACAAACAGTGACTTGATCACTTGGCTCTTGAACTTGAGCAGCTTTGATTGGGTGGCGGTATCTACGAGTTGCATGCTGGGCTGCTTCGAATTTTATGGCGTACACTAGAGTGCTTTTTATGTCATTTGAACAGCTTTCTATATTTCAGGATCCCGGATGCCACCGATGAGATATTGCAACGACAGGATCTCTCTTGTTTCTGTCGGGCACTGCGAAAAGGTGTGATATGACAGCCTTTCAACATCCAAGTGAGCTCCTGAAATGTTTCGGTTGGCTTCTGTTGGCGGGATTTTAGTTGAAGCCTGCTGTAGTCTTTTAAACACTTTTCTCCGAAGTGCAGCTCCAATGCGCCAGATACAGCTTCACAGTCTAATCTCTGGTTTTCGGGAATTTCTTCCCTGAGAGCATATGCAGCAGTAGGATATCCATTGCATATGCTCTCAGGGAAGAGGCAAGATGACAAGCCTTAGCTTGGGAATCCCATCCATTCGCATCCGCAACAATAGAAAATCGGGTCTTATACACTTGCCAAGATGTCTTCCCATCATATGTGAATAGCTTCAGAGATGGACGAGCAGGCATCGGTAGAAATTTCAAACCATCCGAATTGCTCCTTGCCATCGCTATGAATTTCTTTAAATTATCAACTTCTGTGGCAACTGCAGAAACCTTGTCATCAATTTGTTGTTTGATATGTTCTTGGACGACATATACTTTTTTTTCAATTTGTTGTTCGATTCGATGTTGGACGGCTGAAACTCTTCCTTCGATTTGTTGCTCCACAGCAGAAACTCTCTCTTGAATTTCTCCAACTTTATTTTCAATGGCATCTA